TGATTGTTAGCTTCCTTTTGTCCATTTGTCTTGTAGGTTCCTCCCTCTTTTAGATTATATAATTACATGCACATAATGGTCAACATTCCATCAAAGTAGGGTTACTATTGGGCAATCACACATCAATTCAACATATTTAGTATAATTTATTGTATTATAAATATAGATCGACTAGGAAACTAGAAAACCCTAAGAAACCCTAGCCATTTTCAAAATTTAATTGGGGGGGGGGGGGGGCTAGGGTTTCAAGTACCCTAACCTTATGCGAAATTCAAGCCTTTTAGGGTTTAATTTCTATAAACCATAATTTTGATCTATTCACTATTATTCACAATCAACTAGAAAACTATGGCTCTGATACCACTAATAAGTTTTATATGTTATAAATCTTTGCATGAGGCAGAAAAATACTTGACTATTAAGTTCACATGCAATCTATTTGGATCGATGTTTTCTCTATTGATAACAATAACCTATGAACATCAAGAACCCTAAAAATACTCGAAAATAGACATAGAGTTAGATTTTACATACCTTTTGATTATTATAGTGAATAACCAAAAAAATTTCTTATTGAAAGCCTTGGAAAACAAGCACCAAAAATATGACACGTCTAATGGCTCACACCCAAAACCCTAAAAACCCTAGAATGAAGATGAGATATATATATATATATATATATATATATATATATATATATATATATATATATATATATATAGAGAGAGAGAGAGAGAGAGAGAGACGAGACGAGACGAGAGAGGATGAAATTTCATTCTTATGCTTGTAGGAAAAAGCATGAACGAAAACTGATGGCCTAAGTTACTTGCAGGCAAATGCATATTTGAAGTAGTTAAATAATATATTTAATCATAATTCAAATCCTTTCGTTTTATACAATCAGCAGTCTTCCAGAAACCCTAAAAGAGCCTCCAAAACCGTCCATGCCATAGAGGTTTCTAGAATTGCTTTTTTTTTTTGTTCAACTATTGAACAACTAAAATTTATCCGTGCACTTTTAATTAATTCTAATTAATTTCAAGTTAATTCCCAATTAATTCTGATTAATAATGAACTAATTCTAATTAATTTCTTATTAACCATATAAATTAACAAAACAATTATTTAACTATGGATCTCGTGTTAATTTATTAATCACATAACAAGTTAACATATCAATTATCTATTTCCAATTAATATATTAATTACATAATATATTATTCTCTCTTCCTCTCTCTCTCTCTCTCTCTCTCTCTCTCTTTCTCTCTCTCTCTCTCTCTTAATATCATTTGTAGCCATTTCTAGTTATGATGGTAACATAAAAAGGACTTTGTTTCTATTTGCAAGTTTATACCAATTTAGTTATGAGCTTAGACACCTTAATCAAATAGTTATGTCATTTCATTCTCACGACGTGACCAAGGAATGGTCACAATGTGACGTTGACTGTGACTAAGCTGACCATTGACTTTTTGACAAAGTTTGATTTTTTGTCAAACTTGAGTAGAATTTAGTATTTGACTAAGGATTGGTCTCGGTTTGGTTTTAGGAAGTTTGGGTTGGCTACTTTGATGTTGAGGTAGCTATTGGTCTTCTGTTGGGTAGTTCATGTGAGTCTTCTCATTGTACTTGTGGGTCGAAGGCACCAATGCCGACCTACTGGATTGTACTATATAGGATGCTAGTTGTCTTTGTAACTCTTGCATGTGTGATTGGGTTGAAATACACCTAGTGCCAGGCCCGCTATTGCTATGTATTGGGTTCAAATTTACCCTAAAGTTGGGCCCACTATTGATATATATATATTGGGTTGAAACATACCCCAAGGTTGAGCCCATGATCATATGTTGGGTTGAAATATACCCCAGGGTTGTGCCCATGATTGTGTGTTGGGTTGAAATATACCACAAGGTTTGGCCCACCGATTTGTATGGTATGTAGTATTTTAGGGAACTCATTAATCTTTGTGCTTACGGTTTATGTTTAAAGTGTTTTCATGTACTTCTGGTTTCAAAATGAAGGGTCCAGCTTAATCGCAACATTCCCTGGAGAATATTCTGCAATAATTGTTTATAATTTTACTATGATATTTTGAGAATACTTTTACTGATCGTCTTTTGGAACAATGAATGAATGTTTTTGATTTAATTAAAATGAGAATTTTAAATAAACTTCTTATTACAGGTTAATATATGGTCTAGGACGTGTATTATCGAAACAATTATTGTAATATGAAACTATTTTAAATTTGTAAAATCAGCTTATTACAACTACATGTAAATATTAAAAAACAAACAAATTTCTTATTACAAGTTGCAACCGTTTGTCTATAAATATATTTTTTGTGTCACATTGTCTATAACTAAATATTAATAACTTATAAAGTTAATCACTAAATTACCAAATCTATTGATGCTAAGCGAAAAAATAACCATCATCTTGGAAAATTTAACAAAAGGAACATTTTTTTTTGAGCTAAATTAACAATTTTATTTATCGTTATTTAACAATTATTACTTTTTTTTATATAAACGTTTTTAAAAATCATATCATCACAATGATCTTTATATTTGATTCACATATGATTAAAACTAAATAAAATTTTGAGTTAGAAATATTTCAACGAGGGAATATTTTTAGTTGAATTTTATTTTGGTTTCAAATTTAATAGTTAGTGATTAAAATTTGAAAAATCATATAAGAAACATTTGAATTGGTTTTATTCGATGTGACGTAGATAAATAATATCAGCAAAATGACTTCTATATTTGCTCTAAATACATGACATGTCTTATACGTTAAACAACAATTAGGTTAACCACCACAAAATTAAGCATAGGTTAAATGAATAAATATAATATGTTTAACAAAAAAACAAGAATTCATTTGTAATATATGATCTAGGACGTGTATTCTCGGAACAATTATTGTAATATGAAACTATTTTAAGTTTGTAAAATTAGTTCATTTAAATTTCAGTTTATTGCAACAATATGTAGATGTTAAAAACCAAATAAACTTCTTATTACAGATTAATATATGGTCTAGGACGTGTATTCTCGAAATAATTATTGTAATATGAAACTATTTTAAATTTGTAAAATTAGTTTATTTAAATTTCAGTTTATTGCAACAACATGTAGATATTAAAAAACAAATAAACTTCTTATTATAAGTTGCAACCGTTTGATCTACCTCTTCTGTTGGAGAAGGTTGTAGATATAGTTCGCTGACTGTAGACGTTTTTTTTTTCTAAAAAAAAACAAACAACACCTAAATAAGTAATTTAGACACACTTTATTGCTTAAATATGAAAAATCATTTTCAAAACCATTAGGGCATACATGCATTAACGAGCATCCATGGTCGGTTCAACAAGTTTGTGGGCCCTAAACGAACCAAAAATTTGGGGCCCTTTGACATTTACTATACTTGATGTTATAAACCCTCATTCTTTATCCGGACTTGGGACTGACAATAATAAACTAAAAAATTTATAAATAGTAGAGTTAAAAAAAAATTATGTACTTACTTATTATACTATTAACTATGAGCTTATCTTAATAAGAGCACCATAATTATTGAAAAGGCTGTCATTGTAAATTTATAAGTTTTGAATGGAAGACTCCCACTATAAAGAACAAACTTTTCTTTATAGTTTTTTGGAAAAGAATTTTTAAAATCCATGATATGGTGTAAGGTTTCAGTTTACATATATTTCATCATGTAGCTAAACTAAAAATGAAGCTAACTAAAAAATAATCAAGTGAACTAGATATTGTATGCAAAAGTTATCCTAAAAACTATTTCACTAAGAATGGATAGCAGGCCTTAGTTTGCTTGGTCCAAGTGATTTATCAGGGAATTTTCATATTTACTTGCTTTAGTCAAATATTTTAAATGAAAATAAGCTTATTTTTTCCATGAAGTTCAAGAAGTATGTGCTCTTGAGGTACGATTTATATCTGTATGTGTAAATGATGATTAGAATGTGAATTCAAGTGTTCTTATAATACGGGTGTATCAAACAAATTTAACTTTATCAAAATAATTGTAATCTATTTGGTGTAGTGCATCAAACAAATTTAATTTCATCAAAATAACAAATTTTAACATAGATAATAAATAGACTATCATTTTTCACAAATTCACAAATCACAATCATAGATAACCTAAGAAGATCAAGAATGGAAGAAGAACTTACTTTTCAAAATTTAGGAATCACCAATTCAATTGAGTTCTTGAGTCTTGACACTTGATAGCCTTTCAAAAAGAAGAATCAATAATAGAATCAGCACTTTTTCTGATTTTCAAAGAATCAGAAAATAGAATCAATCAGAAATTCAAATGACAGAGAAAGAAGAAGAATTGAAGAATAAGATCAAGTAATCAAATTCAAATGACAAAGAAAAAAGAAGAATTGATGAACAATCGTTGAGTTGTGAGTCACATTCAATAGATAGTCGTTTCTTTTTTTTTCTGCCGATTAGATGTGTGCGAATGAAAATTGGAGAATTCTAATTGACACTTCATTATTCTCTAATTGAGGTTTGGATTAAGTGGGATCCCATAGAAGTGGAGGCCCTAAGCAAGGGGTTAATTTTTTACAAACTAAACCGGTCATACGAGCATCCCAACATCCATATAGAATAGATTTTTGTAGAAATAAACATAGGCAACTTTGTCTTAATGATTGATTACATATTTTGATTAGTACTTGTAACCTCTTAGCATTGATAATGCACTCAACAACTACTCATTGCGTGTGAACACCAATTAGAAAAAAGAAAAAAGACATACTTGCGGATTTTGCTTTTCTTGTTAAATTAGCCTATTTGTTTATTGTTACATTTCAAAAGACAAATGATAGTGTGTTGAATTTGATAATACAAATGTATTTGGTGCATAAGAACAATTAAAAAAAAATCATAAACTTATAATCATTTGATACCTTTGATAATAGTTGAAATATTATCGGATTAAATTATTTTTTGTTTAGAGGTCGAGGTAACGTGGACCCAATGTAGCAAGAGATTGGATGCCACACGGAAACTTGAATCGTATTGAACTGGTAATTTAACGATATCCAAAGCCACCGCAACGAACCCACCAACCCCGGCGAGCGTTGGTTCGTCGCCTTCCACAACCGGCATCCTCCGTCACCACACGCAAAATTACAAAAACAACCTTCTAATAAAGTAATGCAAACGGCATGCTTATTTAAAGGACCATACGTGTCAAAATACCAATCATTTTCTCCGCCGTTTCTCTCTCCTCCTCATCGAGGAGTACTCATCACGCCCAAAAGTAGACCCAGAACCAGTACCACCAGTGGGAAGACTTTTGTAATTAGGGCAATGCCTGATTCTTCTTCTTCTTCGCCTGAAATCGATAACAATGGCGCTTTGCGTAAGTTCAAACTGAACGAGTCGTCGTTCTTGGCTTCTCTCATGCCGAAGAAAGAAATCGGAGCCGACCGATTCATCGAAGCACATCCGGAGTTCGATGGCCGTGGTGTTGTTATTGCTATATTTGGTACTCCTATAACCATCTCCAATTTTTTTTTTGTTAGTTTTCATTATCTCTGACTGCCGAAATGAAAACTGAATCTGTAATTTGTAATTTGATTAGTAATATCATAGCGAGTTCGGACATTCGAGAGAATAATTGAATCCACATGATGGCTTTTCACGATTCTAAGAAGATATTTAGTTACTGATTATGTGTATGCATGTGAAAAATAAGATTAGATTGATGCAATGCAAAATCAGAACAAATTATCATAAGCAAATTTAGATCATCACATTTCTCATAGCAAATCGACTTCTCACATATACTGAGAGAACTATCTAAACTGAAGATCTTACTTTCTAAACATATGTAAAACTGAAAATATAATCGACTGAACAAAATTACCTACTATGGAGAGTTACATAGAAGTCCCTATACCGCTTTTGTTACAGCTCCAGTTAGTTGATTGCTCTTGTAATCACCAATATCTTCCTTTGATTATCTTCTTTAGTTATATGTTCTCATCAGTATAATATGATGTCTACAAAGATGATAAGATGGTCTCTGGTTGTATGAACTTAGTTCAAATACAAAAACTCCTATGGAGTTATTTGGTTTAGAGTATGATCAAGAGCAGGCATTAAATGCATGGCCAAACATGTTCAAGGAGATGGATTTTAGGTAGTTTGGGGGTACACAGTAAATGAGAATAAAGTGCTGTATGAATAAACATCGTTTCTTTTTTGGACCAAACGAAGGTTTTGAATGGGATTAAAAGACATTTTACCCTTCTGTCTATAAGTGATGTTGAGTATGAATGACTGTTTATTTGTAAACCGTTGTAAATGTAAAGTCTAAAAGACAAAATCTAACAAAGAGTCGAAATACTTATAAGGGTAAATGTGTGAAAAGTGATGTCTGAATACATAAGCCCACCAAATTTTATTTTCCAAATTAAGGGACTGTTTCTTCTTTTCCCCCATACAATCCTGTATGGGCAGAATGGATAATGATGTCTGTTTGGATAAAGTGCTGTATACCTAAGTTCTGTTTCAGTGTTTCTTTTGTAACTGAATAAACTGTCTAAACAATACTAAATGACCATGTTATCTTTACATTCTAAAAAAAAATCACAATATTCATCTATCTTAAACAATAGTTGGGATGAAAAAGAAGGGCAAATAGGTAAAGGGTTAGTGTCTTAATACATTGAGCCAAGTTTTTGGCTTAAATCATTAAGTCAATCTGTCTAAATTAAGTAAAAAAAACAACCATGTATTGCTATCGAGATTAAGTGCTTAATCCATAAAGCTCATTAAATAAAAAAGAAACAACCCCTAAGTTTTTTTTATACAAGTAAAAAAGAAACAATCCTATATATATGTGTCTGGATTAAGCCCATTAAGTAAAAGAAAGAAACAAGTACCAATTCTTTCTTGGTTGACTTGAACCATAGGAGTTGTAGTGGCAAATAGCAATAGATGTTTTTATTGATAGATCCTATAGTTAAGTCATCTAAATCAGTGAATGCAATTAATAAGTCATAAATGTTATCTTTTCATAGACTTCATTTGTTCACTTGTCTTGAATTGAACGAGTCTTTTTCTCTTCATGGTATAAGATTTTGTTTTGTTATAATTCTTATGTTCTTTTCTATAAAAGCTTATTGCAATAACTAATGTATTTCCACCTATTCAAATTTTCTGCTTTCAGATTCTGGTGTTGATCCAGCTGCTGCTGGATTACAGGTGACCTCAGATGGGAAGCCAAAAGTTCTAGATGTTATTGATTGGTATCCATCAAAATCAAATCAAATTTCTTAATTTCTTCATGTGAGAATATTATATATACACATTTATTTCATACTTATTCTTTTCCCTCAGCACTGGGAGTGGTGATATTGATACATCAACTGTTGTCAAGGCTGATGCAAATAATTGCATCCGTGGAGCATCAGGTTTGTAGTCATTATATTGATCTAGATGACTAATTACTTGTCGAATATTTCTTTCTTAATTTTTTACTTATGATTTCATATTAGGGGCATCTCTCATTATAAATCCTTCTTGGAGTAATCCTTCTGGAGACTGGCATGTGGGATATAAACTAGTGTATGAGCTTCTTACAGACACACTCATTACTCGTTTGAAGGTGGGCCCTACTTTATGTGTCATTTGAAAAGCAACATTTCATATGCTAATTTGGAAGTTATCAAATCGGTTCTTATAAATATTTTTTTTATGTATGTGAATTTGTAATCTGAAACAGAAAGAGCGAAAGAAAAAATGGGATGAAAAAAATCAAGAAACAATAGCTGTAGCTGTGAAGCAACTTGAAGAGTTTGACAAGGTTGTCCAAGTTTATTCTCATATTTACCAATCTGCCCTTTTCTGAAATCTAACAAGTTTCCCCTATCTTTAGAAGCAAACAAAAGTCGATGAGTTGGTTTCAAAAAGGACTCGTGAAGACCTACAAGATAGAGTTGATTATTTAAAGAAACAATCAGATGTGAATGCTATATCTCTTCTCTTCGATTAAAGTTATTCTTTTTATTTTTATTTGTATGTGGTTATACTTATTTACTTGTTCTTTACACGTATTAGAGCTATGAAGACAAGGGCCCTGTTATTGATGCTGTTGTATGGCATGATGGAAAAGTCTGGAGGGTTGCCCTTGACACACAAAGTCTCGAGGATGATCCAAAATGTGGAAAACTTGCTGATTTTGTCCCCCTAACTAATTTTAAGTATACATTCCTTCTTCGCATATTTGATTTTAATTTATTTCATACATATAGATATACTCATAATTTATTTTTCAGGATTGAACGAAAGTACGGTGTATTTAGCAAATTAGATGCGTGTACTTTCGTGACCAATGTTTACAATGAAGGTAATATTTTGAGTATAGTTACTGATAGCTCGCCACATGGCACTCATGTAGCTGGCATTGCAACTGCTTTCCACCCACAGGTATTTTCTGTTACAAGTTACAACATTTTTTTTTTCTTTTTCAAATTTTGACATGTGTGAATTCACATTACAGGAGCCATTGTTGAATGGAGTTGCCCCTGGAGCGCAAGTAGTTTCATGTAAAATTGGAGACTCAAGATTAGGTTCAATGGAAACTGGAACTGGATTAACACGTGCACTAATCGCGGTTGTGGAACATAAATGTGATCTTATCAACATGAGTTATGGAGAGTCAACAATGTTCCCAAATTACGGGAGGTTTGTTGAGCTTGTTGATGAGGTGGTGAATAAGTACCGCGTAGTGTTTGTTAGCAGTGCGGGCAACAACGGGCCCGCACTGACAACCGTAGGTGCCCCTGGTGGGACCTCTACCAGTATTATAGGAGTTGGTGCTTATGTGTCTCCTGCAATGGCTGCTGGTGCACATGCTTTAGTTGAAGCTCCTTCTGAAGGGCTCGAGTACACATGGTCTAGTCGTGGGCCCACTGCTGACGGGGATTTAGGTGTGTATGTGAGTGCTCCTGGTGGGGCTGTGGCCCCTGTGCCTACGTGGACTCTTCAAAGGCGTATGCTTATGAATGGTACTTCCATGTCTTCTCCTTGTGCGTGTGGTGGAGTTGCTCTTGTCATCAGTGCCATGAAGGTATCATTTATCTTATTATTTGGATTATGATTTTGTTGTGAAGTTATATATATATATATATATATATATATATATATATATATATATATATATGTTAAAAAAAAAAAAAAACTATGTAGGCTGAAGGGATTCGTGTGAGTCCATATAGTGTGAGGAAGGCTCTTGAGAATACTTGTGCTCCGATTGGTTGTTTGCCAGAAGATAAACTATCAAATGGAGAAGGCCTTATTCAAATTGACAAGTTAGATTTTTGGCCTTCTTATTGAATTATTTTAATGTTTATATTATGATGATCTTTTACAAGTGATGTCTTTTTAGGGCTTTTGAGTATGCTAAAAAAGCAGCTGACTTGCCATGCGTTTGGTATAAGATAACCATTACTCAGGCAGGAAAAACAAGTGGGTTCGCTATTTTTCTTTTATACTTAGAGGCTGACAATGCAATGCACTTTTTGGTATAAGATAATAAGATATTGATTTTGATGATTCACTATTTTCATTTTGCAGCAGCATCAACATTGCGAGGCATATACCTAAGAGAGGCTAGCTATTGCCATCAGTCTACTGAGGTGATTTACAGTTTGCAATGCCAATCAAGAAGAATGTTGATACTTGATCCTATGTTTCACTTTAATGTCTTTTTTTTTCAATGAACTGTGATAATGTATTTTCCTCAAATGAGATGGTTGCTCATGTCATTCTAATTGTTGTATTGACCCTCAAGAATAAATGCCAAAAAGGTGCATGTTGTAGTTCTAGTGAAATAGCAATATCCAGATTATAGAATAGTATAATGAAGACACACAATGCACACATTAGGTTTATCAGAAGTGTCTAATGATTAATTGATCGAGAGAATTACAAATCTGAGACAGTTCTGTTGCAGAGCGAATGAGCAAAAGTAGTAAACACTAAACATTTATGTAACAGATAGTTAATGGGTGGTTTTTTCAAAGGTTAATAATCTTCAAAACATAACATGATCACTTAGTTAGATAAGTTCACATCATTGTGTTGTAGAACTAAATATCTTCATAATTGTTGTATTGACAAAATTCTAATCCAAACAGTGGACAGTGCAAGTTGAACCACAATTCCATGAAGGTGCAAGTAATTTGGAACAATTGGTTCCATTTGAAGAGTGCATTGAGTTACATTCTACTGGAAAAGACAAGGACGTGGTGAAGGCTCCAGAGTTTCTTCTTCTCACTTATAATGGTCGCAGCTTCAAGTAAGGGCTTGTTTCTTCTTTTTTCTCTTTTGACATAATGGGCTTAATAGGTCAAGCAATTAATCTGGAAAGCTATACATCATATATGACTGTTTCTTTTCTTTTGACTTAATCTGGACAGCATGACTTAATGGTTAAGCCAAAAAACTTGGCTTAACGTATTAAGACACTGACCACTTACCTATTTGCCATTCTTTATTTCTCCTTACAATTCCTTTCATGTTAAATTGATGAATATTGTGATTTTTTTTTGGAATGTTAGGATAAAATGTTCATTTATTCTCATTCAGATAGTTTATTTTGTCCAGAGAAAGAAACAAAAGAGAGCTTTTGTATACGACACTTTATCCAGAGAAGCATCATTACCCATTCAACCACTTTACTCATATAGGACATAATGGGGAAAATAAGATCTTTTTTTCCTGCATGTGTAAAGGTTAAAGTGACTGAATGTGTAATGATTTTTTTTTTTCTTTTCTTTCTAGACTAAATAAACCGTCTGAATGAAACTAAATGATCATTTTACCCTTACATTCCGACAAACAATTTTCTTCACATTTATCAGTTCTTACAATATTCATCAGTTTTAATGCGAGAGGAAAAAAGAAGGGGAGATTAGGTAAAGGGGTAGTGTCTTAATTCACTTACGCCAGATTTTTTGGCTTAACACATTAGATCGCTCTCAGTCCATATTAAATTATTAAGTTGGTAAAAAAGAAACCAACCATATATAGCTGTCGAGATTAAGTAGTTAATCCATTAACCCATATAAGTCTGCTTCTCTTCATCATACAATAATAACATTTGGTAATTCCTTAATTTCTTTGTTGTTACCAGTGTGGTTGTAGACCCTACAAAGCTTAGTGACGGTTTACACTATTTTGAAGTGTACGGGATAGACTGTAAAGCCCCATGGCGGGGTCCGCTTTTCCGTATTCCAATCACCATCACAAAGCCAAAAATTTTAACAGCTCGGCCTCCATTAATTACATTTCCTGGATTATCTTTCCAGCCAGGCCATATTGTTCGCAAATACATCGAGGTCCCATATGGCGCCACCTGGGTGGAAGCAACCATGCGTACATCAGGGTTTGACACTTCTAGAAGATTCTACATAGACGTTGTGCAGCTCTCCCCACTAAGAAGGCCTATAAAATGGGAAAGTGTTGCAATATTCTCATCTCCATCCACAAAGAGTTTCACCTTTTCTGTAGAAGCTGGTCGGACAATGGAATTAGCAATTGCTCAGTTCTGGTCAAGCGGAATCGGAAGTCAAGAAACTGCTGTTGTGGAATTTGAGATTGCATTCCATGGTATAAATCTTAGCAGAAGTGAAGTGATCCTTGATGGAAGTGAAGCGCCTGTTAGAATCGAAGCACAAGCTCTGTTATCATCTGAGAAACTTATTCCAATCGCAAAGCTAAACAAGATTAGGGTTCCTTATCGGCCTGTTGATGTAAAAATGAGTGCTCTTTCAGCAGATAGAGATAGATTACCCAATGGGAAACAGATACTTGCGTTGACTTTGACTTATAAGTTCAAATTGGAAGAAGGAGCTGATGTGAAACCACAGATACCTTTACTTAACAACCGTATCTATGACAATAAGTTTGAATCACAGTTTTATATGATTTCAGATTCTAACAAGGTATTTTTTTTAATCAAGTCATGTCCTTAATTGCTATAGATGTCATATTTTGTAATTTAAAAAAAAAAAAAAAAAAAAAATATTACAGCGTGTGTATGCCATGGGTGATGTGTACCCGGAGTCAGCAAAACTGCCCAAGGGTGAATACAATTTGCAATTGCACTTGAGGCATGAGAATGTGCAGTACCTGGAGAAATTGAAGCAATTAGTGTTGTTCATTGAGAGAAAATTGGACAAGGTAATAATTAATTTGTTTCTTCATACAAAACTTAAAATCCTTTTATTATATTTTTACTTATTATTGTGGCAGGAGGCTGTGCAATTGAGCTTTTATACACAACCAGATGGTCCAGTCACGGGTAGTGGCAGCTTCAAGTCGTCGACATTAGACCCTGGGTTTGTTTGTTAACCATGACTCTATGTTTTCCCTTCTTTTTCTACAAATTTCCCATGTTGTTTATATATATATGTATGGTGTTTATGTTGTAGGTCAAAAGAAGCATTTTATGTAGGGCCTCCGACTAAGGACAAGATTCCAAAGGTAGGTTTAACATTGTTGGGTGATTTATGCAAATTGGGTGTAATTTTGTGTTTGAGTTTGACATTATGTGGTTGGTTGGTTATAGAACTCTGGGGAAGGATCTGTATTGGTTGGTGCAATTTCATATGGAAAGCCTTCAGCTGAGGTTACAGACCAAGGAAATGACCCTGAAAAGAATCCTGTATCATATCAGATATCTTATCGAGTCCCACCAACTAAGGTTGGTTTGTTTCCTTTTTTTTTTTTTTTTTTTTTTTAGTAATGTTATTACTTAAGTTAAATTGTTGTTTTGTTGTTTTGTTTGACAGGTTGATGAGGATAAGGGAAAGAGTTCTAATTCTAGCAAGGCATCAACAAAAAGTGTCTCGGAACGTTTAGAGGAAGAGGTATGCATATGCATAATGAAGGAAATTTCAAAGTTCAAACTTAGTTTTGGTTCCTATCCTCTCCTCATCCTCCTAAATACTATATATATATTTGGTTTTTTTGTAAAGGTGCGTGACACGAAGATAAAGGTTCTTGGAAGTCTGAAACAAGGTACAGAAGATGAACGGGCAGAATGGAAAAAGTTATCTGTGTCACTCAAGGTATGTAGTAGTGGAGTCATTTGATTTGAGGCAAAAATATGGTATATGAATATTTGATGTAATTTATACTTGTTGGAAGGCGGAGTATCCAAAATATAGTCCATTATTGGCGAAAATATTGGAGGGATTGGTTTCCCAAGAAGTGGAAGATAAAGTACATCATTATGAAGAGGTAATTACTGATTTAGCAGCAGCCAGGTTTTATTTGAAAGAAAAGAGAGATAATAGTGATAGTGATATGGTATTTGTTTTATCAGATAATTGGTGCAGCGAATGAGGTAGTGGAGAGTATTGACAGAGATGAATTGGCACGATTGCTTTCCATGAAAGGTGACCCTGAAGAGGAAGAATTTGAGGTAGGTTTATTAGTAATTAGTATTATGTTTGTGGTTTGGTTTTCTTGATAAAAGTTTTTGCAAAGAGAAGAGAAGAGAGTGATTGTTGGTTATTAACTTATTATGTGTGTAGAAAACGAGGAAGAAGATGGAGAGTCGAGTTGAACAGCTGGTTGAAGCACTGTACCAGAAAGGTTTAGCCTTAGTGGAACTTGCATCCCTAAAGGTACTCTACTCTTTACATATTTTATATTTTTATGTATTAGTAAAACCTTTATAAAGTATATTTTTATAATATGTATATGTATATGTATGTATTAATTATGAAGACACTACAGCAGGGTGAGATGGCGGCTTTGGCTGCAAACTTAGGTGCAGAAGTTGTGGACAAGCCTACTACTACTACGACGACTGCTGATGGAGATCTGTTTGAAGAGACTTTTAAAGAGTTGCAGAAATGGGCGGACAAAAAATCACCTAAATATAAGACTCTTGTCATAATACGGGAAAAGCATAGTGGAAGGCTTGGCACTGCACTCAAGGTTGAATATTTAATTATAATATAATACTAATTTATAATTCTATCTTTTTACTTAAATTGGACTTGGACTGTGTGTGTAGGTGATTGGTGAGATGATGGAAGAAGAAGGTGATCCCCCACAAAAGAAGGTTTATGAAGAAAGAATATGTTTGCTTGATGAGATTGGATGGGGCCATCTCGTGACATACGAGAAACAATGGATGCTCCTTCGCTTCCCACCAAACTTACCCCTTTTCTAATTCTACCTTCCTCTCTCCTCTCTCCACTACTACTACTACTACTAGATGATGATGATGATATATGTACTTGCCGACTTTCTTTCATACAGATGAGACAATTTAATAAATAAATGCGTGCGCATATGTATGTATGTATGTATGTCTTTATCATTGATTAAATGTGTGGTGTTTGTAAAAAACTAAAAAATGTCATGGACAGGAGTTCACCATATTTCCTTACTTTGGGTAGGGGTTGCTGTATTTCATTTTCAACTGTAAAGGAAAATAACTACTACACTAATCAGTAGTCATTGGTCCCAGCCCTCTCTTCTATTTAAATTTTAAAAACAGTAGTGTATTTTGTTTTTCTAGATCTGCAATAGAAGATGTGGGCTAAACATTTGAAGAAGATTTTGTTTGTATTTTAATGTCTGTTGACTGCTAAACTAAACAGAGTGGTAAACTACAAATTTTAATGACGATAAAATAATTAAGTCATTTTTAAACATTGTGTTGTAATATAAAAAATCGGTATGAATTAATGGATATATATGTTTTATAATATGCAAGAAAATAGAAAATTGTATTAGAATAGAGTTTATTATTTATTAAAAGAAACAAATCATATCAATGGATGAGAGAATATTAATATAATTAATGAAAATTTCCAATAAAGTTTTAATATTTTAGGTAAATACACAGTTTAATCTCAACTTTTATTTTTTGAATAGAAAAATCATAATTGTTTTATTTTTTGTTCAAATTAATAAAACAATTTTTATTTTTCTTTCAAATGAAAAATTATCCTATAAATTTAGATAATTGGAACTTTTGTGTTCAAAAAATAAATATATGGATTACACTAAACTGACTTAAAATATTAAGACTTTATTATAATTATTAATAGGCTAACAAACACTTTATTACAAATACATACAAAAATTATTAAAGGGACTATTTATGATCCCAGGCAATTTTTACAATCTTAGTCCAAGCCATTTACTTGCAACAAAGATCCAAAACATTAGGACAAAAATAGCAAAAACAAAACCCTTTGGGACGAAAATCAAAGGGGGACTAATAAGGAAATGACAAATTTAGGAAAGCTAAGAAATTTGTAAATGGGACTTATAGTTCATAGTTATTATATCGATAATAAAATTCTTCAACGAAATACCAGAAAGCACTTGTATCCAAGTTTCTTATTCAAGATGGTTTAAAAAAAATTAAGAACAATAATACTAGAGTAGCCTACTTTAAAAGTCATGAAATTGCATAATCGCATCATCAAGAATCATGAGAGAAGAATCTAGAACCTCCCATTTTTCTCCAACCTTCTTGCGTTTTTCCAACACTTTGTCTCCTACACTCTTTCCTTTACGAAGGATCTGTAACAAAATAATAATCACAAATTAAGCAACCCTATAATATATATATATATATATATGGTAATAAAGCAAAAATATATAAAATAAAATAAAATTGTATCATACTTGTTTTGCTTGTTCAAGCTCATGAACAAGGCGAAGCTTTAAGTTGAGTGCAGCATGATACATGTCATCTAAAACTTGTTCCCAAACAGAAACCTTAATCAACTTCCAACACAAACTTTCCAACTTCTGTCCTTCATTTGCAACTCTCTGTACCATACATACATCGTCATCATCATCATGGTAAACATTAATTCTCAACAACCCTAAAAACAGAAACAAAAAGTACCTCCATATGCAACATATCGTCGTTCCATAGCTGAAATAGAATCTTCAACGCATCTTTCTTATCAACAAATGTAGCCATCCATATCTACAAAAACCCAAACATAAGGAAAAAATGAAGGAAACGAAATAGCAGCCTACTTTACTCTTTTTTAACCAATATAGGCAATGGACTTTATTTCTTTTAAGTTTTACCCATAATAGCAACTTACTTCATTATGTTTTTTGGCTGATAATAGCAACATACTTACATTTCTTTACCAATGATAGCAATATGTAACAAATAACTGAATAAAGTACATTGCCCATAGAGGAAAGTCGGTTGCTATTCTCTGCAATTTGCCCTATATATAATATGAACAGTAGTTAAACACTAACAAGTTGTTGAAGATTAAAAAAAAGAAAAAGATTTGACTACCTGATCAGTTTCACATAGCCTTTTGGATTGTAATAATAATCTAAATATCCTATAAGCCTCCCTGCCATATTTTTTCAGCACAACAGATTCAACCTCCTGAGCTTGAGCCTCATCAATGATCTTCTTCAAATCTGTGAAACAATAACTAACAATTTAAATAATAACCCAAGTTTTAATGGATCATAAATAAATAGGTTATAAGCTTTGACTTACCAATACTATATGTTTCATCTATCCCAATTATGGCGACTTCACATCCCAATTGGAGAAGTGAATCCCTAACACGCTCTAAACTCAAACTTCGACCTTCTTCCCTTTTTATTGCTTCCTCATATATTCTATCCATGGGAAGAGGAACTATCAACCCAAATTATTAAAAATGTTGTTAGAATCCCAAATATAACAAGAAAAAAGTTTAAAAAGATGCAATCAGTATCATACCTGTTTTTTCCATTTTCACTTTAGTTTCATCTCTTCTAGTTGCCTCAAAAATTGCACTTAGAACAATGCCGGCTACATTATCCATACATCTTGTCACATGGGTAATACAACACTGTAAACCACAATATATATATATTATATATATATATATATATATATATATATATATATATATATATATAATCATGCTATTATTATCGAATCAGTTTAAGCTAAATATGTTTTTTAGTGTAAGGAAAAAAAAACAACCTTGTGGCGAAAGTGTCGTACAAATTCCTCAAAATTGACGCGCCAAAGGATTTCTTTATTTTCAGGTTCCAAGAAATTTTTCTTGCGCTGTGAAGAACAGTATATCCATATGAGATATGTCACAACATTTGTAGCACTTTTTTTTTTTTTTTTTTTTGATATTTCAAGACACCATTTTCAAGTTGTAAATTTGAAACCTTAGCAACCACTGATATACTTATTACACAAATAAGAGAAAGAGAAAATAAAAACAAAACGGACCTTTTCTCCGACTATTTCTGTAGTAGATGTTTTTTTGGTATTTTCATCAGGCGCAACATTGGTAAATGTATCTGCTTCAACTAAAAATCTTATTGATTCCATAGGAGTTGCAGCAGCTAATGCACGTGCTTCAAGGGTTTGTGATGGATCATTCATCTGAAAACAGGTTATATTTAGTATCAGTTTCTTGAAATCTACATTTGAGGGAAAATCAATGGAAGTTGGTTTAAGCATAAGATCAGAATCACCATAGTTATTATCAGTTAGCTCTTTTTCTTTTTCACTATTTCTATTCATTGTGAGGATTAAGGCAAGAATTATGTAATAATGGTTGTAGAAATACTTTTTACCTTAGACTTGGCAATTTTTTTCTTTCCAGCAGTATCATCTTCTTTTTCTGATTCAAGATATGGTTCACGAGCAGGGCATCTTTCAATATAGTGTGCCTGAGCAAGTTTATTGAAGTTTTCATGTGCCACATTAGCAGCAGTGCTATTTTCTTCACTTGTATGTGACTTATGCTTATCTTTATACCTGTCCACGATCTGATTCATTGATAACCTACCATGTTGAAGTAATCCTTCAAAAATCTCCATGCACTATCAGAAACAAACAAGTGATCCTGTTAAGAAGAAAGTTGTACAATGATGATAGTTACATAGAAGGAACCGATCCAATTTACCTCTTGTCCAAATTCATCTGATATGATTGCCAAAAACTTACTGAACCTCATAAGGTGGATGATGTTGTCATGTAAGGCCATATAATGAGTCACCATCTTTGGTTGTTCCATAAATCCACCTGTATTGTCATATCATATCTAAATTTACTATTGAAACAGCACAAATATCCGTACGTTAAAACAAATTGAGCACTCAATTAACACTATCAATTGCAAAAGCACTGTGACATTGAAGTTGATGTATAACATAAAAACCAATGAAAGAAAAAAACTGATGAGAAAGGAAAGAGTACCTTGTTGTTCAATGCTGAAGGCTTGAACGCAATTATGCTGAATCAACACAAGTAAAGCGTTGGTAGCATTTTCTTTATTGAGTTCTGTGAATCGTAGCACTTGCTGTAGTGATAGTGTTCCTTTACGTAGAAGACATTCGCATACTTTCTGCAATCGTATGTGATTGTAAACAACTCGGAGATAATTTCGACGGAAAAACACTGATGGAAAGTAGGAGATATTAGGTTAATAGGAACTTACAGAAACGATATCGCCGAAGTAAGCGGAGATGAGATGCACCGCCAGTTTGATTCCGTGCGGCGACACCATGATCGGCGTTTCTGTTAAACCGGAGCAGAGGGGGAGGGGCGGGAAGATGAAAGCAACAAAGGTAACCGAATAAGGTAAATAAATCTAATTTTAGGGTACCTATTTGTAATTGTTAGGCGGCTCAGTTGTAAATTACATGAGTTGGGATGGGAATAAACGGTTACAGGTTCGAACCCTTTTTCCTACAAAAGGTATGTTTTTCCAATAAGTATTTATTAAAATTGGTTCTTATGTATTTTTATACGTACAAGTGTATATGACTTCACAAAATCTGATTTGGGATACCAAAAAAACAACAACATACTCTTCGAACTTTTCTTTTCGTAGGTTAGATATTTAAAGCAAAAAATGTAAAACAACTTTTACACTTCGTGGATGGTAGTATGGTACCTATGTTGGGGAGTTTCACTCTTCTGGAGAAGTTATCTTTTTATGTATACATTTACGTTGATTATCAAGACTAAATGTTTAGGGATGAACAAAACCGAAACAGAAAACCGATAAAACTAAAACTAAACACAACAATATAGGGGCATACCATATAATAGGTTATTTGAATACCTTTTTGTATGTTCATCATCCGACCATTTTGGATCGAAGTTTCTTTTTTTAGGTCGGTTACATCTAAACTAACATCTATCAGATCCCCGTAACGTGCTAGATTGACATAGCTCATAAGTGGAACTTCTTATTGGTATAAAGTATCATCATGTTTCCTGACATGATTAAGTAGAACTTCTTATCGGTATTCAGTATTATCATCTATACTGACATCATAAAGATATATACCGATATCATCTTCATCAACATACTTCAAATTTCCAGGATCCACAAAGTAAATCGGTGATTATACTAAGTTTTCGAAAATAGTACCATATTCATGAACACTATAATACTGAGGTAAAGTGTGAGAGATAAAATTACTTGTTGGGTTGTTGCTTCTATTTATGCTAGATATGTTTTCACAAGAGCCTTTTCCTCTCCCATTGTATTGGTTATCACCATCACCTTCAACTAGGTCACATACATATCGGTACATCCAACCTCTTGAATTACATTGATCAACGGACAAACATCACTATCATCAATTATGTATACAAGCAAACTTAAAAAATAAAAGATTCACAATATATTGTATATGATAACTGATATCTATTAGTATTATCTTAAAATATATTTATTTTTATTAACCACCTTCTATGAATTTATTTTTATTTTTATAAGTTATCTGATGAAATAATAAAATAAACAATAATTTTTTGATTTCTTTTGGAGTTAATTAATTATTTAAATATTTTTGTTCAATGGATCTGCTTATGTCATGAGTTATATGCGGTCGCCCATGTGACACATCTTTAGACTACTAGGAGTGGGCAACACCCACTCCTATTATTATAACGTGACACCCTAAAACGTCTAAAAACGTAAGATAAGAGCCGGAACACCGCCCTATCTTTGTGCTATTAGATGTGGTAACGGAAACGAGAGATAACACCCAATCAAATCATTTTTTTTCTCTTTTTCTTTCTCTCTCTCATCTTAACACAATATTATAACATTTAATAACATGGAAACACAACCCTCATTTCATGTTATAACATGTCATAACATGGAAACACCGTTGCCCACACCCAATAGTCTTATAGACACCCGTAATTACGAATTTATGATTATTAAACATCAAATGGTTTGAAAAGATATGGAGTGAAGGTTTAATTAGTCATGGACATAATATGCTTGCGCGCACGATGTAAGTTGTTTTAGTGCGCAAGTTAACCCTTCATAAACTATTTATGACTTTCCATGGAAGAAAATAACAATATAAAACATAAAAAACAGTTAAAATATTCCGATATCTATGAATTATATTTTTGTTTGACAACCAAACATGTTTATTCTTGTGTTATTAGTTAAAAGTATTGTAAATATTTAACTATATATATTAATTAATTAAGGAGATGAGATGTTATTAGAAAAATACTATCCATAGAATGAAATAATGGGAATAGGAGTGGATGAGTGGTCAGGCAAAAGAGGCTGAAAGACGAATTTCTCAACCTTCAATTTTCCCCCTTAAGATCTCTACTTTCCCCGCAAATTTCTTTCATCTAATTCCTTCACTAAAACTTCTCCAGTTTTCAAGCATCTCTCCCCCATACTTTCTTTTCTTTCTTTCTTGCAATTTTGTTGTCAATCTAATTCCTCCATTACTCCAACAACCATGGTACGTATGCATCTCTTTCCTCCCTCTATCATATCAATCCATCTCATTTACATGAAAAAACGCAGAAAAAAAAAAAACCCTCAAAGATTTGGATTTGTTTAACGTTATCGTGTGTTTCTACATGCATGATCCTTTCCCATGGTACTCGTTCTTGAAAAATATGCCACAAATTCATGTCTGTTGTATCAAGAAACAAGAGTATTTTGTTTGTTTTCATGTTAATCATGATTAACTTTTACGTTATTTTCTGCATGATCCATGCACATTGTAATGATGAACTTTATATTTTTTGTTTGTTGTGATGATGATATATATATGTTTGGGCGTTAGGCGAACGCGGCATCTGGCATGGCTGTGGATGACGAATGTAAGTTGAAGTTTTTGGAGCTAAAAGCAAAGAGGAACTACCGATTCATTATTTTCAAGATCGAACAGCAGCAGGTGATTGTGGATAAGATCGGAAGCCCAGATGAGAGCTACGAGGATTTCACAAACTCTCTCCCTCGTGACGAATGTCGATATGCTGTCTTTGACTTTGACTTTATCACTGATGAGAATTGCCAGAAAAGCAAGATCTTCTTTATTGCTTGGTTGCTAACCAATTCTTTTTTCTTCTTCTTCCAATAATTAACTAGATTTTTGTTTATATTCCATCTGAAACTTTGAATATGTTTATAAATAAAAAAAAAAACAGGGCACCAGATACAGCGAAGGTGAGAGCAAAGATGGTGTATGCAAGCTCTAAGGACAGATTCAAGAGAGAATTGGATGGAATCCAAGTCGAGTTGCAAGCCACGGACCCAAGTGAGATGAGCTTCGACATTGTAAAATCACGAGCACTCTAATCACTTACGAGAAAAAGCTTCATCTGATCATGAGCTTTTCCTTATTGTTAATTTGTCTTCATGATGCATACGCATGCATGAACGTTGTTATTAATTATGTCTGATTTTTTTTTTCTTCTCTTTTGCTCTTTTCGCCAATAAATATACATCCATCGTTGTAGTTTAATGTAACATTACCATGCCCTCGTATTGCAATCTTGAAGAAATTTGATTTCGTTTATGTAAAAGGATTCTTTATTTGTACCACGGGCCATACGTGTATTTATGTATGCATTGTTTTATTATAGGGAGTATGACTTACAAGCCAACATCTTTTCCAAACCGTTTAAAAAACTTTAATAATGTTTTGTTTGTTAAAAAAAACCCAATGAATTTAGCATTTAACATTTTGTCTAAAAAAAACCCCACTAACTTACATTTTTGTTTAACAATGGAAGTCAATCATGTTTTGTCTGTTCAAGAAAAAACCCAACGAATTTAACATTTTTGTTTAACATTTTGTACAAAAAACCCCAATCGTCTTTTGTTTGTTCAAAAAAACTCAATAAACTTAACATTTTGTCTAAAAAAACCCCAACGAACTTATGCTTTTGTTCAATTCTTATTAGAGGTAACCAAATTCATTCGGTATACAATTAGTTGGCAAATAAAATAACATTATATTTATTGACATGGAATAAACATATTAGAATTACCTTTTATATATCGATTTAGGGTTTGGAAAAGAGAGAAACGAACGACGTCTATGCTCGATCTCTTATAGTGATACTAAGAAGGAATTTGTGGATTCACAAATAATAACATCTTTTCGCATTTTTTCAAATACCTTACGGGAAATCATATCATCGTGATATGTTTTTGTCTTCTCTTTGTAAACGACTTCATTCTCATAAGCTTCATTTCTGGTCTCTTCAAGTTCATGAATATCAAGTTTTCTTTTCTTTCCTGACTCATCTAAATCCATGTTGAAGTGTTTGGCTACCCAATACGCTTTATATTGCAACTCGACGGGTAATGAACATGGATTTCCAATGATAATGAAGTATGGAGACATCCTTATAGGAGTTTTGAATGTAGTGCGGTATGCCCACAAAGCGTTATCGAGATAAGCACTCTAATCTTTCCTGTTCGGATTCACCGTCTTCTCCAAAATACCTTTTATTTGTCGATTGCTCACTTCAGCTTGACCATTTATTTGTGGATGGTATGATGTGGAAACTTTATGAATGACTCCATATTTTTTCAAAAAACTCTCCAGCATACAATTGCAAAAGTGTGAACACAATCACAGATTAAGGCTTTTGGAGTCCTAAATCTGGAAAAGATGTTAGCATTCACAAAATCTATCATAACTTTTGAATCGTTAGTAGGATTAGGTTTAGCTTCCACCTATTTAGAAACATAATCCATAACCAACAATATGTAAGTAAAACCCAAAGATAATGGAAAATGACCCATGAAATCAATACCCCAAACATAAAAAAAACTTCACAAATTAAAATGGGGTTAAGGGGCATGTGATCCTTTGAACTTAAAGATCCAGTCTTTTGACACTTGTCACAACTTGCATACAAAACATATGAGTCATGGAAAATACTTGGTTAATAAAATCCACTCACTAAAACTTTTCTTGCAGTTCTTTGAGGACCAAAATGCCCTCCGCAAGCATAAGAGTGATACAATGCTAAGATAGAAGATACCTCATGTTGTTCAACATGTCGTCTGATCATTTGGTTTGCATAATATTTCCATAAGTCTGTTTCGTCCCCTTCATATCTCTTTGCTTCTTTCTTAATCTTATCTTTTTGCCATCAATTCTTTCTGGTGGAAACGATTTTGTGACGATGTAGTTCACAATATCGCCATACCACAGGGAAACTTTGTTGAAAATAAGTGTTCATCCCGAAATGTGTCACATATGGGAGTTAAGTCATCAGGAGAGACAATTCTACTAGATTACCAGCGACAGGATTCTCTTTTCCAATCTTATCCTTGATCTCAATGTTGAATTCTTGGAGGAGAAAAATCCATCTTATGAGTCTAGGCTTCGAATCCTTCATGTCAAGCA